ATTCGGTGAGTGAGAAACGCGTGGGTGCGGAAGCCTAAGCGAATAGCGACCGTGTATTACAAGTTGCTTTTCTTTACGAGCGATATATATCGTACGTTGTCGTCGGCGTAGAGAAGGATTTAAGTGTCCATAATTACTAACTTGTGATTTCCGTGTCGTTAATTTCTGTATCGCAATCTAAATTTCTTATTCCGCCGGATCTAGTATCCGACACGCCATAATAAATGACACGATATTAAACGCGTCGGCGATATCGCGATCGGTTTTAATGCACAAAACTGCATAACGCAGTTGGAGCTCTTGCGATAATAGCGTTCGGTGCGTTTGCAAAACGGAACACGGGCCAATAAATAATAAGGGGAGGTAACAAGAGATCGGTCGTGCGCGCGTGACCGTCGATAAAATAATAATTACCGTCGACAATGCGCCCGAACAAATTGCCCGTTAATTTTTGCCGATAAACATTCGTAAGCCCCGTAGAGGCGAAAACCGTATGCACGCGACGCGTAAATAATAGCCAAAATGCGATCACCAAAATCGCGCTGCCCTCCCCCCTCCCCCCACCTACCCCCTTCCCACCCGCGGAAGGGCGCGGTTTGCGCTCGCTCGCGCGGATGCGGATGTGTGCGCTTGTACACGCTTGTAATTTTCGGCGTGTGTAATATGGACGCGGAAGAGTGTGCGGAGGAAGGGGCGGTTAGCCTCGGCATAAATATCAATGCATAATAATTTTGAATGGTTATTAGCGATAATAAAATCCCAATTTATCGAACGGCAGCCGCCTCCACCTCCCGTGCTCAACATTCGCGATTTATAATCTGCCCACCCAGTGCTTCGTCACGATCGCGCACGTTGCACCGAAACAATGCGCCTACGTTTATCGACAATGGGAAGAATTTATCTCCGCCGTGATCAGGCCGCGTAACGCCCGATTTTCTCACGCTCCTCGAATCTCCCGTTTTTTTTTATTTCCCGCAATCTTCCCCATCTGTCTCTAGTATCTACCTTAGGAAATACAATCAAGTGTGTCGATGCGAAATCATCGAGCTCGACAATGTGCTTGACTTTATTCCGTCGTGCTTACCAACGAGTGTATTTTCTTGACGTCGACGTTAATTAAAAAGATCCTTCACGATCGAACAAACATCTCTCGCAGACAGTGATGTTCGCGGGATCTGCTTCTGGCAGATCATAATAGTCGAACCAAGGCGCGTCGCCTTCCCCTCCGACGCATTTGGTTTCTGAGTTACGCAAAGTCTGCCGTAGACACCCTGTATCTACTGGCATGCAACGGGAGTAAACGCGGCGCGTTAACTAATAATATCACTTGTCACGTTCAACAGCACTTCGCTAGACAGGGCATAGTTGCCGCGAGATAATACGCCGAGATTATGCGATGTATACGTAAACTACCCTCCCTCGCGATTATACTCGTCAACGCTTTATCGAGAGAGCCTAATCATCCGTAATTCGTCCATTTTGAAATATTAATTGTACAACATTTTCGCCTATTATTATTTTTTCATTAATTATTATTTTATTAGAAATTCGCTCAGCGCGGCAAGACACGAACATAAGCAGTACCTTTATAATAGCTTACGCTATAAGCGCATTCTCGATTATGGTCGATTGTATCGCAACGAGCTCCAACACGCACGCATGTCTACAATCGATTCCGTTTCATCGGGACGGTCGAGAGAAACTTTCAAGGAACGGAACTTTCGTGATCGCTCCTCTCTTTCCCTCTCTCTCTCTTTCTCGAGTACCTCCCGACTTGCGCGACCGTAAGCTTCGTAGATCCTAGCACCCGTCCAGTGCATCAATTTCAACTTTGCCCGCCATCTCCGAGGGACTCGCGTCTATCCCTCCCGCATTCTTAGTCGGCGCATTTTCTTCCACTTAACTTTTCTGGCGATAAAGGCGCGGCCCAACGTTCGCGTCGACAATCCCCCTATCGTAGCCTCCCCTGTCCCCTCTCGCCCCCTCGGTGGGTCGTCGGGACGCATGCAAAGTAAAGTTGTTCTTTAGTTCGTTAGATCGAGCCAAACGACGGAGACAAGGGGACGCTTTCCGCCTTTACTTACGGGACTCGAAGGTGAAAAGATAACCTACGAGCATTACTCACCGCGGAGGACGACGAAGTGGCGCGGGCTACGACCGGATGTGCCGTCTGAGAGGCAAAATGGAAGGAGGAGGAGGAGATGAGATCGTTTGCGCACCATCTTACGCGTCCTCGCAGTTTTTATCGCGAGCGCTCGACGTTTCACATACCTTTTTATGCCGTTTTGATACAACTTCGAAGCTTCAAAATTTATCTGCCCGATGCGAGAGGAAAGAGAAGGAAGATTCAGTCGTCGTTTTTGCATAATTTATATATATATTCTCACGTAATTTTTCCACGTTTTTTTTATCGCGCGACGACAATTTGTACTCGAATGACGCGTTATAATGTATTTTATCGAATTTTAAAAATACGTCTCTACGATTTACCCGTCTTTTTACACAGTTTTATACGCGACTCACGATTCCTGCATTTTTGCTCGACGCAAACATCCGTCGTCGTTACGATCTCGTTAAGGAGTGAGTTTTGCACAGCTCATCGCGAGGGCAAAAGAGGATGCCCAAGGGCCAGTCTCTCGATGGCCTTCTCTTACGAGGGTGGAGGATGGATTCGAACTCCCAAGGGTGAAATGGCTCATTCCGACGCACTTATCCAACGCAGGCCGTAGATAACCATAGATTAATGGAGCCTGGAGACTTGCCGAACGATAGACGGAGAAGCAAGAGAGAAGGGAGTGAGATGAACGAACGAGAGAGAAAAGGAGAATGCGCGATGGAGCGAGAGAGGGTTTATTTCGAAGAAACGGGGCGACCGAGTCGGAAACGAAAGAGAAGGTAGATCTATAAGAGGGGGCGTTATACCTTGCTAGGCGACCCCGCTGATTTATTGTTTATTGAGAAATATGGCCGTTACTTTGCTCCCGAGGATTAACCTCCTTCTTTCTCTCATTCTTAATGTTCGATGGATTCAAACTTAAGGTCGTAAAGAAAGTTATCCGCTTCACTTTGGTTCATCTTCAAACTAGATGTAACAAAGACTGCAGTGAAAAATGTAGCCCATTACAAATACATCGTAAAAACTATGCTTGAAAAATCTTTAATAATTTAATATAATAAAAGAAAACTTTGTATCAAAACGATTTAAGAGTGACAAGATTTTGAAAGCAGCGGCCAAGTTGGTGGACTTTACTTAATGTAAACCCATGGAAAGGATTAGACTGACTAAGCTTGGTAGCAAGCTTGTCTTTTGCCCTCTCGCTTGCTTACTCCATCGTACTCTCTACTCGCCTCCCTCCCTTTCTCTCTCTCTCTCACTCTCTCCCCTTGGTATTTCTATCCTACACAGATAGACCTGCGATATTCAAGTTATCAAATGCGTCCGGTCAGAAGGAGACATCGCCGGAAGTCAAACAAGCTGCCCTATGGAAGATAAGGCTGTCAGACCGAGGCTAAAGGATAAGGAAACTATCAGCTTGTTTAGGCTGAAATTTCGGACGAGGTAAAACTTCGGCGACAAGTTACGCGACGTCATAATCTATCAACATACTAAACAAATTAAGGCAACTTAATGATACGTCAATATTTCGATCTTGAGACAGCCTTTCTCGTTCATTCTCGCGTCAAAAGGCGCAGCTTCACAAATGCCAACGGAATTCGAAGTTTTCAACGCAAGATTCTGCAACCTAACTCTCGACAAGATCGGATAATTAGACTGCGGTTCGTGCAACTTTGAATTATGCGTGTTCGCGGCCTTATGCTAGAAGACCGAGAACCCTTGAGGGACCAATTTGTTGATTAAGCCTGCCATATATTCAGCTTCTTGTCCTCTATAGATTCTGGGAAAGCATTTTCTAGATAACATCTTATGTTATAAACTATCTAACTTTATACAGGATGTAATCAAGTAAGAGAAAAGCTTGGAATCAAGCGAAAAATTTAATTCCAAGTAAGAATAATACTTTCCTAAATATATATTTTCAGAAACTTAGCATATATATTTATACCGGAACCTTATTAAAAATTAATTATTTTTTTCTATTTCGAGCTACTTCTTTATTGTTTAATTATACTTTATATGCATTTTATATTATTTTTAAAAACAAAGCTTATAACGATTGAAGTGAGAGAATCATGCAAGAAATTATGCAAAAATTTGGAGATTCAACCAAGATTGAGACGGTCGAATATTTTTCGCGGGATTACGCAACTTGTTTTGATATTTTCCGGTCGAATTACAGGGACGTCAACACCACCGCCGGTATCCCTGTCATCCACAGTGCTCGGCTATGGATCGAGGGCAGCGAGCCTCGCTTTTGAGCGTAAAATTGAATCAACGCTTTTTAAACGTCCCGTACATTTCGCTCAGTGTTCCCTTGCGTTTGATGCGAAACGAAGATCGTTGACAATACCATACCAAATTGTTGCAAAATTCATGGCACGTTCGGCCATCATCCAACGATCGGACATTAAATGTGATTCAACGTAATAAAGGTAGTTGTTGTGGCACTTAATTGGCCTTTTTAGTTAGGATAATGATAATTAATATCGCGAAATATTTTAAGAAACGTTGCAGAATTTAAACGCGTTGGAATTTCTTAGAAATTAGCGAATATCATATTGAAATTTAATCTGCTAATTTTCGAGTATGTATTCCTATAGAACCGTAGATCAAATTCTCTCGAGTGCGCGCCGATGATAATCCGGGCGAATCCGCTCAGAGTGAAATCACGGGGCCGGTAAACTTGCCCGAACGAAACCTTGACAATGCCCGCCGGTCACGACTACATGGACGCGAGCGATGTTAACTTTGCCTTCCGATCCGACTACGCGCTCCCCGCCAAGGCCTCGCCCCGACTAAAGTTTGGCTATGTTACTCCAGAAGCTACGTAACATTAGGAGAACTTAAGTACTACCCGTAAGTCATATTTAATCCGACTCACCGTACTCGGTGTGTTGCTGCTACTGCTGCTACGCAGATCTTCTCCAGGCTCGACCCATTGTACCTGCCACGAGCACCTGCGAGAACATATAACAGAGTGAGAGCGAATTCAGACAGTTAAATCGAGAATATGATAATAATGAAATTTGTATTTACCAACTAACTTATCAACGTGCATCCGAGAATTTGATTGAATTTATAATAAAGTTAATTTTCATATTTATATATTAGCAAAATTTTTTTATATTCGTAATAATTTTTTTTGTAATATATAAATAAATTTCCTTTTTTGCAATAATTTTTGTAAATAAAATTCACAGTAAAACCTCGTATTCTGCTAATGTTCGGAGAAAGTCAACTATCCGAAATTTCATTTCTCCAGCCAATTTCTCGACCCCTGTTCAATCTCGTACTGATACATACGCCCACGCAGGTATTCGAGAAAACGTCGCCATTGCTGATCGTTACTCGTCAGATCTCGATCTCGCTTCGAACTGCGACGTCAATTTGTTTGAAGGAGACGAGAACCCGCCGGGGCTTTCTCGCGACTCGTGACGTTGCCGGCGATCCTGGCGAACCGATAAGTACTCGCTCCGGGCGACCGTAGATTTATTGCCGGGCTTGTCGGTCTTCTCGCTACGAACTACTCCCTTAGACACCCCTTAACCTCTCCCGACCGTCAACCTCGTCTCTCAACTTTTGCCCTCGTCCCCGTCTTGTTATGCCACGCGGAGCGATTCGCGGAGCATCTCCCGACCGACTCGACTTCCGTTTTATTGGCGGAAATAATCTTTGATGTGATTCCGCGCGCCGCGTCTTCAAAGTTTTTTCCACCGTTACGAGGGGGGGATCGACGGGTAATCGATTCTCAGGCAAGAAGAAGACATCGTTCAACGTACGAGATAGACCATAACGCTTAATCGTTCGATGTTCTTATCGCCGTACCATCGTATCAATGCGAGCTACCGCGAGCTCGATGGCATCATAAATGAACAGTCGTTCGAACGAAACACGGTTGTGCGTATTATCTTTGAGTTTCTGAAAGTGAGTAACTTAATCTTCCAGAACGCAAACTGGCATCGACGATAAATGTGACGTAGCTTCAAAAGTTTTCACGATTATTTCGATAGCGCACTAACATATCGAATAAATAAATTGTGTAAATATATAATAAAAATGTACACATTCTTATTTGCATATTTAATTTTTCTCGATAAAATTATGCAATCAAAGAAATTCTAATTCATTTTTTGACATGATTATTATAAATAAAAAAATAAGATCTCGAAGAAAACATCGCGCAAAATATTTTTTGCTTAATGTCCAAGATTTGCGATAATACCTGAATTCTGCTGTGTTTTTTAATTAACCAATACTACAAAACATATTGAGCGCTATTCTCGACCGCGTGAAAGGTATAGAATAGCACAATTCACCACTCTCCTCGGTTCAACCCTTTCACCGTAAGTAACAAAGGAACAACGCCGAGTCCCACCGCGGTATCTGCGACCCATCGCTGTCTTAATTTCCTTCGTAATCTACGATATTAATATGGCTTAGGGTTGGCCGACGCGCGTAATTTCGCGCCGCGTAGAAATTAATAGAAAGACGAATGTTCCCTCCGCGTGCTTTACGGTTGAACGCCCGACCGGAATAGTTAATAACGACGATTTCTGTGCGATTTCCGCGCCCTGCTTTGCGAAAACGTGCCCTGCGACCAGCGCAAAAGTAGATGCCACATTTTCGAGACAAAGTGCTTTTAGATACGATTTAGATACCATTTTACGTTGCATTGTATATCGTGGCAAACACAGTAATTGATTATAATACTATAGTATTATAATAATTGATTATAGTACTATAATATTGAAGCAATTATTTATTAGATAATTATACATATATATATTACTAAATTATTAATTATATAATCATTTATAATTTTTAACCATTAAGTAGATTATTATAGAATATTTGAAAGATTAATCTTTAGATAAATCAATTAAACGATATTATGTAATAATTACATAATTTATATAAAATGTTTAAAATAATACTTGCATTGTGAAGATTTATCTTTTAATATTTAAATAGTTTTCACGTTTTTCATACGTAATTAATTGGTAAATACGCACATCAAATGTGTCAAATAGAAGAACTTTTTAGTTGCATCTGTAATCACTTATTCGCGTAACTCTAAATTTTTGGTATAATTGATTAGCAGCATATATGATGCGATGAACATATGTCTATACATGATCTATGAAAAGAATCTCAGTGTTTATTCTTTTTTATTTTTTTTTATTTCTCTTAACACGTGGAAAAGTGTCTAATCGCAAGCTAAAATTAATAACTGATATGATACCCGTACAAAAAAAATTCACCTTCTTTTAAGCATTACTAATTTAAAAATTGAAAATAAAATCTTTTCGTTTTATATATTACAGAATTAGATATAATAATATAATCGAACTAATGAACATTGAGTTTGTTTACTAAGTAATCAAGTAATTAGTAATTATGGTTATTTAATAATCAATAATATACCCCATGGGTAATGAATAATGGAAATAATCAAAACTATTAATTAATCACCGATCTCGATTAAATTATTAATTATTAAATAATAATATCTTATAATTAATTCGAAAAAATTAAGAACATTTAGAAAGACATATTAACTATTAAATTATAATTTCCTTGCTCGAATCTTCTTAAAATTCTATATCTAAATTGCAGCAAGAATCTAAATAAATGTGGAGGTTGGCGTTTTTCAATCTTGCTAAATACACTATCGCATCGAAGTACGAGTCAATATGAAGCTACCTTCAAAACGACATGAGCAAGATGACACGCTCCCCGACGTACATCTTGTTCAAACGTCGCGTCGCTCGCGATAGCGACGCGGAAGTCCTCGAGCATCCGTCCATCGTTCGCGCATGCGATCGCACATCGGACAATGAGACGTGATTCGAGACGGCGGCGCCCCGCTGTCTATGTGTTATCGAGTGGCATTCCGACACGCTTCTGGAGTGACATTTAGATAGCGACGTCAACTGTCTGCGAAGCAAATCCGTCGTGGAAGCGCGAAGGCTCTCCTCCTCGGTACCTTCTCCGGAAGCCTGACGGCGAGAGCCCTCGCCATCGGAGCGAGCGAATTCACTGCTGATCGAATTAGCGCGCCACGGTTCCCCGATACCCTGACAGTCTGAATTAATTAACAGGAGAACGCGCTAGGTAAGCAGCCATTATCGCGACAAAGTGCGCGTCGCGCGACAGGACGAGCGAGATGTGACTATTCAGTAGTGTAACCGTAACACACCAATCGATAGATGCATGAAAATTAAATCACTCTGTGATTTATCGAGAAAATATTACTATTTTTTTTTACCAAAAATCTGCGGTATACGCATAAATCTAAAACGTTAATTTAATAAGAGATATAGCAATTTTTTATAAGAGCTGTAGCAAAAAGCGAACTTCTTACATTCTCGTGCAAAAGAGTGATCATCGGTTTGCCTTGAAATCTCAAATGTTCGTTTTATTCGTTAGTCTCGACATCGAAATGAATAAAGAAATATTCGCGGCTCCAAGACAAACACAATAGAGGTACATGTTTTGAGATAGAGAGAGTTTTGCGTCTTTCGGCGCGACACGACGTCTTGACTCTCCATTAACTTCACACTTAGCGGCACCTTAGAAAGCTCGCTGCCGTCGGAAGATCTGATTAGGGGTTCGAGTCTCTGCTAAACGCGTTAGTCTCGGCTGCGGGGCGTCGCGCGAGAGGACGGGGAAGCGGCGCCATCAGGTGTTAGAGCGGCGGCCTCGGGAATAGGCAGGAGGAGACGAAAGGGACGTTCGATGGTGTCTGTCTCTTCATAGTTTGATGCAAATTGAGCACGAGCACCATCAACTACCGGCAGTATAGACGTTTTCCTGACTCTCTCCCTCTCCTACGTCTACATACAAACCCGCGTACACACTTGTATACACCTATCTGCCTCGATCTAGACCTCTTCTCTCCCTCCCTCTCTCTCTTTCCCTCTTTGTCGCCGGAGAAGACTCCACGATCGAGTACGAAATTCATTCCGCGCGACCCTCCTTCGGCTTCAAGCAAACCTCCACCTTTCCCACCGATCTTGACTACCGCCGAAGTGTTGCCGTTTGGGGCTTCCCGTCCCGTTTTGCGGAGCTCGCACTGTTTGCCAACGAATCTCGGAGGCTTTCTCTCGACTTAGCAGCGATAGAAACATTTCCGCGTCGCGAAGAACGGTTAGTCAACGATTTCGATTTTTCGGTTTCTGAAAGGTGCTATGATTTTTTTATTCAGAAACGAACATTTTTAAACTGGAATTTACATAAAAAGTTATCGCGCATTCTAAATAAATAAATTTTATAAATAGAAATAATCGCTATATAAAAATAATCTATATAATAAAATTACTTAATTCAATAAAATCAATAATTCTTAATTAAAGATATATTATAAATGTGTCATATCACCATCATTTATTTATTTCGTTATAAATATAATATTATTCAATAACGTTATCTTTCATATCTCTTTTTTACCGTTTAAATATAACAATTATTATAATAAATTGCGCTAATCTTTTTATATCTAATCCGTTTTGATTTAAATAAAGCGGGATTAGATATAGCTCTTGAAGAAATATCAGCTTTGATTTACACGAGCTAAAATATGAAGACGATACTAAAATAACCGGCGATACTAATGTCTGAAACGTTTAGCGTTACAGATTACAAAAACTGCGTTTATCGGCAAATATAGCGCATATCTAGACGCGAAATCACGATACCACTATAAAGGATCGTTTTCTCCTGTCGTTCTGTCGACTCCTCCTTCTCTTTCTCCTCTCGCACCTACGCTCTGTAATGTTCCTTTTTATGGTGCATGATTCGAAGCTGCCCCCGGGATCGATTTTGCTTCGTAGCACGGCACTTATCGTACTCCGTTACGAGGGCGCGTTGCTTTTTATGGTGGTTCATGCTAGATGTTCCGATCGGCACACGTTGGCCTCTCTTTCTCGCTCTTTCTTTGCCCCTTTTCATTTTCTATTCCTCTCATTTCCGTGGAAACAAGGTATCTGCACGGTACCGTAACAAAAATCACACATGCCCAAACGGACTTTCTTACAAATAGATTGACTAACGAAAATTAATTTGTCGATAAAATCGAGAATAGCACGAGAAATGAAGGATATTAAATTAAAACGTTATAAGCTTTTTTTACGATGCATGAAAATTTTATTATTCACCGTAAAATTAACTCAATCATTGAATTGATAAGTGAAATCGATCGCAGATGCTAAACCTGTTCGTATTAAAATGCTAATATATCTCGAATATTCCCGACATGTCCTGATTTCACTAATAACAGAAGGGGAATTATATTTATATATTACGATACTCTCGGCTATATCGATCGAGACATCGCGAGTTTCATATGCCGATCGGAGGGATATTTTAAGTTCAATTATATCGTCGCCAATCAGGTTGAATATATAATCATCGCTCGCTATTTCGGATCTCTAATCACATCTATATTTCTGAATCAACGAGAATCTTTAATAGCAATGAAAATAAACTCGAAATCATGCGAACGCTAGCTTTGAACATTAATGAAATCCGTGAAAATCCGAACATTTTTATTTATACTGCAGAATTTATAATTTTAAGTTTCATTCAATTTTAACTATTTCTTATTATTGTATTAAATATATAATTTTTGAAAGAAAATATTTATATGTTTACAAATAAATTGTGTTTTAATTAATTCCAAAAAATAAATGAGATAAACACTTATATAATACTTATAGTCTTTGTTTTCATATGCATTTGTATGTAAATATGATATGAAAAAAAAGTATCTCATTTCGAAGAAGAATTTCGTTTATTTCGCGCGTTGATTTCGTCGGCGCGCAAATGACCTGGCCACATCCTGAGAACACATCGTTGAATCTACTAAAAAAAAATGCAGATTTCATTGGATACGTGTGGCGTACGTCGTAGAATCTCATTGCGATTTCATGGTCCTCTCGGAAGGAGCAGACCGACTCGTTTCGAATGCTACAAATGTGCCGCGCGCGAACGTTCGCATTCAGGTAGCTCGAGTAGGTGGTGAAAAAAATCACGTCTGCATTTACATAAGCGCCGGTATAAACCACTCGACGGAGAAATCCCGACATAAAACCCAAACAGGATACCAGCGCGGGACAGCACATCCGTTGAATACGCAATGGCCGTATGTAGCCGGTGTACGTACACACACCCGTCTGCCCCCTTACCGAAAAATGCTTTTATTATTCACCGGTAAATTACGAACGCGACACTGTATACGTTTTATCCCGTCGTTTATGCTGACGTGGAGTTTACACGGCTCATTGACGACGACGTCTTTAAGAGAAAGAGAGAGAATCGTCCATTTCATCGACATTGAAACATATTCTTTTCTTGTCTGGATATTCTATCGATTTTATCATCATAAATTCTGGAACTTTGTCAAGCACGATCACAACTAACTGTCATATATAAAGGAATTTATGCATGTTTTATTACATGTGTACATGCATATTAACTCACGCGACGACGATTTATCAAAATTGGTTCAATACATATAAGTAAAATAAATATAAAGTATATTTAGTACGATTCTTTTATCAGCTAAAAATAAAAAAAATAATATAAAATTAAAAAGAAACAAGAAATATAAAATTAAATATAAGAAAAATAAGATAAATAATATCAAATTAAAGATAACGTGCTAAAAATAGAAAAATAATATAAAATTGAAGATAATGTACGTGACATGAATTGTACTTAAGAAATAAAGTAACAGATCGATTCTCTCTCAACGATTTACACCAACGATATTCAGAGGAGTCCGACGTGTCACAATAACGACTCAGAGTTTTTGCGAGCCCTTTTCTAAGACAAATCGCGCGAACACGCCCGTCATATCGCGATCGATATAACGCGCTACGCGGTATAAGAGTGATGTTTCCAGCGCCTGACGGGAATTTTCAAGTCCCGTGGATCATGGCAAAACGATTTTCATGTCCCTCGTGGATCTTCGATCCATCGTGCGCGGTAGAACAGGTCGGTTGCCCTTACGAGCCCGCTTTCATGGCTCTTTAGCATTTCCGGGCGTAACGTCCTTTATGCGGACGCCTTCCCCGAAAAGGGCGCAGGAGAGAAAAAAATTGACTTTTAAACCGGCAATAAAAACGAAAAATGTGAAATCTTTGATTTTAAAGGCTGTGCTGGCCCGCCCTTCGCGGGAACGACAGTTGGTCGATGCGTATAACCCTCGCAGTGGCAATCTTATTTCTTTCGATATCGCAAGCCGAGCACGTTCGGTACCTCGTCGCTATCCCGAAATCCGCGTGCAACGGTATGTATATCGTGTCGGATTACTCTAAAATCCCGGGCTTTTATATGCTGAATTTTAAAATACACTTCAGTCCTGTCTCGGATTTTTCGTTCGGCCAGAAGTGGACAGACGTCAACTTGCTAACATTTATCTGATACATATAATTGCATTTATATATATAAATAAACATCATTATTTACAAATCTAGTATTAATAAGTGAGGAGAACAGTCAGAGACTCATCAAATCATGTGTCGATACGTTTATGGAGAAGGGGAAGAAAATAAGAGCGAGAAAATTGGAGAAACTTCCAATTCTCGGTAATCACGATGTCTGCGAATCGACTGAAAATTTGCATTTAAAAGTCTTGGAAGATGCTAGAAGAAGCGGAAAAGGGGTGGCGTTTCGCTGCTTGTTTTTATTTTCTAGCAATTTCCTCGGCGGAGCAGAACGGAAAGTGACCTTAAAGGGAATTAGCACGTTTTACCGCCTCTATACCTGTCTCGCACAACTCTTAAACGAAATTTCTTCCCGTCCCTTTGCCGCTATGAATCAACGTGATAACGATTATTATCGTTTAATCTAATAATTTAAATTATTAAAAATTTTATGTAGCATTTTATAAATGCTATTATAATTTTCCAAAATTTGTTACAATATTATTTTTGTATTTTAATAACGTAGCACGATCTTAATGCGATAAAATTAATTTCTGATTGCAGATTTTGCGTGGGCGACAGATTTTATCTCTGTGATAACAAGATTCTCTGCGAATACGATTATGAAGAGAGGCTGGTTTTCGCCAATATGGCTCTGCATCCTCCACCTACCGCAACCTTGGCGCACATCAAGAGACAAGTGACCCATCTTCAGCCACCTCAGGTGAAGAGAACTTGTAATTATTTTTATCAACGAAATTTGCGCGCGGTAACTTATAGGTTCACGTAGCTTAGAATATATCTATCGATCGATAGACTTTCGTTACAAGATACCTGTACGAGGTAAAGTACAGCAGAATGCACATCTAGTGGATATCTTCTCTGGACTCTGGCCATCAGGTTTCAAACTCGCAAGGTTTCAAACTCCTCAAGGCGCAACCCCCTTAAGGCGGGTTAAAGTGGCAGGTCGCCCGTCCTGACCCTCTCGACAACAAAGGACTCCCCCGAGGCTTCAGCTATGCTTTACCATCCTGCCATCGTCTTACGAGTTAGGATATCGCGTGTCCTTATTAATTAAGCTCGCCCGTTAAGCAAGCCTCGTCGCATGCCTTAACGATTTGCTCGTTCTCCGTCGAAGACGGGAACGTGCGAAAGAATTTACTCTTCATAAAGATTGTTAGACTTTCCAGAGTTATTCCGGGAAATACGAAGCTCTGGAAAATTATCGTCTCTTTTTTTATAATTACGACTTTTTGATCAATTGCAATATATATCGCGAATAAAAAATATTTTAAAAACCTTTAATGTGCGCGTAAACGTGGAAAATATTTTCAAAAAGACTCTAACGAAAAAGTAAAAAAAAAAGCGTTGCAAAATTTAATTTAAATTTAACTCTTATTTTTTCAAAATGGTAAGAGAAATGTCATGTAATACTGAATTAAATGATTAAAGTAAAAACAGATCGTGAAATTATGATAATAAGGGACAAATGGTAAGCAAAGAAGAGATGGCAATTTTCACAGAGCAGGAACGTCCAGAATTATGAACTCATCGGCGTTAAGCTTGTTGGGATTAAGTCGTCTTGATTATCCTAAGGCAACAGCCTTGCTTCGAAACAATATCTTAAGCTCCTGCCGCACGAAGGACCACGTCCTACTCGACCCTAGGAAGCCTATCCGTTTAATCCGGGTGCCGTCTTGCAAGGATCTCGCCGTCTTCCTTGTATAATGACGTCACGTATTCTAATTGGCAATATTATTACTTGAAAATAACGGTTAGAATAATCCAGAACTGGAGATAGAAAAAACTTTACCCTCCAATTATTACGATATATCAATATTTATATTTATATTTTAAATATATTTGAAATTATAAATAAAAGCCTAAGTATATGTAATTTTTAATTATAAGCTTCTTTTAGCAAAAAATAAGCTTCTTTTAAAACGAGATAATTGAGTAGTTAATTGGGCCATTACTAAGAATATCATTTACTGCATTATTTCTGTTGTTAAAAGATCGTTAAAAGTTCGCGATAAAATAGTCATCGCAAAAGTTGGAAAACATTTTCCGGAACGTCTCGAAGAGGCGGTCTAAAACTCTGTAGATGCTTGCTACACGCTCGAATTGTACGCATGCACAGAATAACGAGGTCCCCGGCCCGATGATATCATGCTCGGTAACGTGTACTACTTATAATATGCAAATTCGCTCCCCTTAACCGCTCTTGCTGGCGAGCTGCGTGTAATTCAGGGGTTGGTAACCCTTGCGACTCTATTCCTGTGTGCCACGTAAGCGTCGCGCGCTCTTCGACGACCATTCGTGCGTGCATGCGTGCGTGCGTGCGTGCGTGTACACGTCGTTTATAATGTTTAAAAAAATATCGGCTCGCGTGAACGGGCGTGTTAGCGCGTAAATATTTTTCAGGGACATCCACACGCGCGCGTAAATCTCTCTTGGCGAGGTCGAACGGGGCGTCTCACTCGAGACTTAAAATTCGTAGTCTCTCGACACCGAACGCGATGTGTCGTTTTAATTAATATTTTTTTATTGCCCGACGAGGGAAATCAAATTTGTTTTTTCGCTGTAAATTTCTGGCATCGTCAACAATCGGGAAAAATTGGCACGTCCGCGGTGTATTCCGCGATATTGCGCGATCCAGCAGCTTTCACACGCAATATCGATTCGCTTGGAGGGTTTACGGGTTATAAATGACCGGTGTGCGAAATAACGGGATGGCAGACTAATGCCAATAATCGGCGTGGCATGCTAATGTCGTCTGCGCATCTATTACGCTAAGCCTGATGGATCCCTCTTGACATCTCGTTCCTGGAGCGTGAATGCCTTCGATCGCGGAGAGCACTCAAGATGTCTATCGTTTTGTTAGCCAGCATAAAGGTCATTTGACATTTTGCAGTTAAATGAAGTTAACACGTACATTGCTCATTGTCTCGAATCGTAAAATAATATCACACATACATCTTGTATAAAATAAATAATCGAAGTTTTAAACGATAGTAATAAGTTGTGATAAAATCAATAATGATATTTTTTGAATGTAAGAAACAATTACATAAACAGAAAACATTAGGCTCCCGTTAGATTTAACACTCTGATAAAACGCGATAAAACGGGAAGACGAAATTGAGAATATCTATAAAGAAGAGAAAGAAAGAGAGAGAGAGAAGAAGATATAAAGGGAGAAAGGAGGAAAGGCGTTAAGATTCTTAAAAACCGCAAAGAGGGTGCTCGTCCTAGAGGCAGCTGCCACCCTTGTACTCTCTTTAAGCCCGTCGGAGGCAGCGAAGTACCGTCGACGGAAGGTGAAAAAGGGGGCGGTAGTTTTTCTGATTGCCTGAGAACAGACAGCTGTCCCAATCTTTCTCAGCCCTGGGAGGATCTACCGTGCTTCTTGCGAATAATGCCGGGGATGTTGCTTACGAATAACTCGAGTATGCCTGATCCGAGGTAAATCGAGGACGGGGAGGATGAAGGAATGAAAAGAAGCGACGAGACTGGACCGCCTTTAGCCGTCAGCATCGACAATCGAGCTGTCTCGATGACGGATGATCGTTTCCGATATTATCGTTGGTCTATTGAAACTTTATCATATATTATAAGGACTATTTCAAAATTGATTATCTTGATACACAACACAACACTACACAATGAGATTTTTAATCCAATAAACACATAATTGTTTTCGTAAAAACTTTCAATAAAAAATTAATATTCTACAATATCGAAAATAAATAATTCTGGATTTAAAAAATTAAAAAGATATTATTCACATCATTAAAAGGAGCTCGATTATACATGTAAAAAAACAATAGAGTTCTATAAATAGTAACAATAGCGAAAAGACTCGTGAAGCTTTAGCTCCATTTCTCGAACAGGAATTTCGATCGAGCCGCGCAATCTCATCCTCCTTAGAGACAAGTGTAACGCGCTTAAAAATTGGCGAGAACTTTTATTTCAGTCTAATTTTCCCCTTGGGACTCGGCGAAATGATAAGGGAGAAGAGAAGGGGGATGAAAGAGGAAACATTAGCGGGGGATATAGACACGGAGTAAGAATGAGAAAGAGAAAGACAGAGAGTTTGGAACGATTATCTGAGTTTTAAAACAAACTCGAGTGTCTGCGAAGTCCTTCGCGAATCAGAGGGAGGAGGAAGGCCGAGGTGCCGGAAAGAGGTTGAAAGACGCGGTGAAGGGAAGAGGGAGTTGCGGAGGTGAGATAATATGCTAATGCCAAGACGGAAGGTACATGGGAATTTAAGAGGATCAATGCACAGTACGAGATTCGTATTCGGAGAATAAGGCATTACAACATCCTCTATATTGCTTCCAGGCGATTAGAGTCCTGAAAGTTCGTCGAATGCGAGCGACTAATTTCGGCAAAATTAAACTTTCGGTTTAACGTCATTTTTATTGAATCTGAGTGTTCAATATCCATTTGTTCAAGGATGAAACAGATGCCTTTACGGACGTATCGAATTCAGGATAAATCAAAAAGTTGAAAATTGTATACTTATATAAAAAATAAAGATGTTATTTTTCATCTCATTTCCTGTTTTATTTGCTTTTTCTTAATATAATATAAATCCTCTTATATAAATAGAATATTAATATAAATAGAATAATTCACGAAATTATTATAATATCACGAACCTGTTAGAACGGATTGTATTAGTAAAAGATTTATGATGGCAAAATATAAGAGGTATTTATGTATAATTTTCATTGTGGATATCGCGTTAATTGTACGTGATTGGTTTAAAATAGCTGTTTCGATATGAATGAAAGACTTAGGGATCGATATAACGTATGCATTAGAATATCCGAATAGAATGTGTCAGAATAGGATATGATACCATTAATAATAATTAATGTAGCGCACGGTTAATCCCTCGAAATGTAGCGTTTAGCGAAATGGACGTACATCATCGTAATGCAGTACTATACAGAGCCACAAGCGTATTCCCACACTGAACAAAGCCATTAGTCCATCATTAATCCTTCATTGTAGATACTCTATCGTTGTGCATGCGAATACGATCTGTTTAGAATTACATCAGAGAATGTCATGGAAATTATGTAAAACGAGCACATATTATATTCTCTCTCTATATATAATATTAAATATAAAATATATTAAAAAATTTTTTTAAATTTCGCTCCGGAGAAAAAAAAGATTGTCGCGAAATCTCGAAATGCCGTGATCAAAATGTTTTACGCGTAACAAACAGCTCTTGATCGATCGCCGATCGATCAGCCGATTAGATTGTCCGCTTGGTCAACGTAACACAAGTTGTGTCGTGACAGGAAGAGGAAGAGAAAAAGACAGAGAGAGAGCAGAGAAGAAGGAGAAAGACATGAGCACGTACATACGAGCCCTCGCACGCGCGTGTACACGTCGTTCTTGTTAACGAGCGCATTATTAGGTGCACTGTGCTTGGCTGAATTTCACGTAAAGCCTCCGCGCGGCCCCTTATATTGTACAACGCGCGCGTCCTGAGAAAGCTCGCATGGGAAAGCCCGGCTTGCGAGCTTATGCGAGATTATGAGTTTAGTTGGGAAACAACTCGGAGAGAGCTATGTGCTACGTGGCCGAGAGCTTACTTTTGTAACGATTATTACCAACGACTATGGACCGTCGCAAGGACTCGATCATGGTCGAGCTTGCCTTTTAACAACAAATTTTAATGTAAAATGTTAAAATGCATCAGAAAATAAAGCCAAAAAAGATGATGATCAATCATAAATTTATTTTACAAGAATTGAAATTTAAAAAATTTAAAAAAAATTGAAGAATCTATAAATATGATTGATTAATTTTTTTGACATATTTATTTGCAGAGAAGAGAAAAGAGAGTATTAATAAATCTCTTTTTTTTTCTGAGGCGAGAATCAAATCGAAAGTGGCCGCGCCCTGGGGGCTAACGACCCGCCAGTAAATTCCGTTTCCAAACGATCCCGGGGCGATTAACGACGTCTTTCTCTAATTCTCATCTCGTGCCGAAGGTCGGACCACGAGCGTGGGTGGCGCTAATTTTTGCGCGTAAGAAAAGCTGCACCGCGCGCGTAGAAGCGGAACGCGCGCACCTGGCCGTTTCCCATCCGCGGGAGATCAACGGACAAATGACACGCGATTCTCCCTGGCAAACCCCTCGCGCGTTGGCGATGCTCCGCATTTACCGTCAGTTACAAACTACCCGACCCCGCTTTACTACCCTCGCGCCGAGTCACGATTAATGTCTTATTCGCGCGAGCGAGATCCTCTTGAGAGGTAGGAAAAACCGGGAGATTTTCCGCGACAGATGAGAAGAGAAAATGAACGCGAAAAAAGGCTACTCGCGACTATCATATGCAACACAAAAACTCATCTTTCCATTAATAGACTGGCGCAAGATATTAATTATGTTATTATAAAATTATCTTTCAAACAATTACAAAATTTCTAATAGTTATAAACAATCGAATAAAAAAAATGTTTGACTTTGGTGTAAACATAATCGTATAACATTCTATCTATACATATCGAATATCACAAAACGCGCGCTATTTGATTACGATGCCGGCAGTAAATCCACAACACGGTAATTCCTCCTCTGGCAATTGTAGATAAAACTTGAATAAGTCATAGACTTAATTTAACCCATAGTAGCGTTCAACGGCGGTCTGGAGCCTTCCACGGAGATTTCTTAATTACAAGCGAGACTCTCTGAGACAAGAGGGTACAAAGATGGAAAGAGAAAGGAAGACTTGGGATATATATGTATTCCAAAAACGTAAAATGAGAAAGAGAGACAGAGAGAAAGACAAAAGTCTTGCTGGGGAAAAGGGTTCTCACGGCGACGAGATTTAAGGATCCTTCCTAAGGAAAAAAAGTCGCCCTCGTCGCGAAGGCAGATGATAAAGCATTTCTCTAGCAGCGCTTTGTCATTTTTATCGTAATTATTTACGAGTTAATTACTCCGCAACCGCACCCTGCTGGCTACACTTTTTTTACGTTAGAATGAGAAAAATGCTTTATTAAGACACCAAACGAGATAACACCTTTCACAGCGATCCCGTGACAGATCTGCGCTTTCATTCTTATTTTCCCATTGCATACAGCGAGAAACAAAAGCGAAATAAAATGAGGAAAAGCAAAATGGATAATTTATTCAATTTAATTTTATAATAAATTATGTTGCAATTTATTCTTGCATTCTTTGAAAACAAAAAACATATTGTAATTAAAATCGATTCGTTCGTCGCGTCGCAACGAAAGTATTCCAAGACGTTCCAAGGCGCGGGATAATTGCCGAAAATGGAGGCTTAATTCAGCGCCGTGCGAAAGTTAGTATGATCAACTTACGGGCCGAAATCGTGACGAGGGAGGATCTCGTCACGAGGGGCTGAGCCGCACGGTCTGCCGAATTTTAAGCCTGTATAATTTAACACCTTTACTGCAGAAACTAAGAGAAACTGAAGGGAAAGACGCGGAGGAGAGGCGGAAGGAGAGCCACGCGTGTTCGCGAGAAAGCATGAGACGACGACGGTTGTAAAAGACGAAGAGAAAGCAGGATCGACCGGATAAGACGAAGGAGGGATGAACGGAGGGAGATAGGGAGGAAGGGATATAAAGTTGGAAGTTTTCAACAGCGTTTACCTAGCCTAGTACAGCCTCCGCCTCTCCCACGAGTTCTCTACCATCAGCGCATAAATATGGCCACGAGAGAGATAGAGATAGATAAAGAATCGGTCGGCAAGAACAAGAAAGAGGGATCCACTAAAGTTGAGTCATCCCGTTCTTCCTTTTTATCCGGCCACTGAGATACAAGTTCATTCCTTCGGTCTTTTGTTTTTGAAGCAAAGTCTTAGATAATACATTAGAAAGGATGATGAGAGGAGAGAGAAAGAAAAGGAGGAAGAAAGAGAGAGATATGCGAATTCGTTAGCGTTGTCAACCCTTTAAGAGCAGAAGTTCGCGTCGGATTTTACGTACCCGCGTCATGAATAATTGTTGAAATCGAATTACGAAGCAAATCGATCGACTGCTTTTATTCCTGAATTCCGTAAATTGCTCTTTAACCGGATTAAATTCTTCAGAATTACAGATTCGCATCTCCTAATACGTCTTTTGATATGTATTTAAAGATTTAATAAATGAATTTCGGAAATAAATTAAATGTAATTTTTATGCAACCAATATTTTTTACTCGATTAAATGCAATTCGCAAAGAAATCGATAGAATCGATAAAGGTTACCTCTAAAAGAGATTAAATATATTTTATACACGAATGTTATATAGCCATTAAAATCAATTTCAATAAATATGAAATGTTACGTGTTTTCTTTATAGACACGTGTCGGTATCAGTGACGTGATTAAATTACGGTTAAATTAATAATTAAAAATACATTTATATTCCTACTAATATATATTAATATTTCTAACAATTAATTCCCTTTCTTCTCCAGAAAGAGTAAGTATACGTAGAGTGTTACTAAGAAATGTTTATCTTTGTTTAACGCGATTGCGTATTGTAATTGCTTCTCTCAAATATATCTATAATGTCTTCCTTAAATAAGAAACTTTCATACTTTTTATTTTAATTAATTCTTTTTCGCGAAAATTATTGTTTAAACTAAATTGAAAAAGAAAATTAACCACGTGTCTTTTTTCATTGTACAAACTAATAACAAAATAGTAGCATATCATTTGCAGTATATTATTTAACGACAACCATGGTTAATTAAAATTTCTTTCTCAATCTATGTTACAGCTAGAGTTATAATCTAGACAAGGACAAACGAGTCACACTAACCAGAATTTGTTAACTAAGGCGGTCAGTGCGAATCACTGGTACGGTATATCACTCGCATTGGTATAAATCACACAGTGTTGCAATTACCTATCGAGAAGACTTTAAAAGAGAAAAAACCGTGCATATGTAAGATTGATAGAAAAATACGAAATATACGCTGCTTTTCGATATCACGGCTCGATATTGCTCGATGGCACTTTATAAAGGACGTGCGTGCATTCGGTCGCATAAATTTTCCGCTAAGTCGAGATCGTTTGATAAGGACCGAATTGAATGAGAAAACCGATCCGTACACATCCGAATGTCGTATATCGATGGTGTATAATCCTCACGCGTCTTCTTTTATCTTGCAGAATGTAACCGCGGGTGGCCCTCAACGACAGGCAAACGGGGAAGCGGCCCATAACCACAACGGATATCCAGCGCCAGCCAGCTCGAGCGCCCATAACGTCCTGAACCCCATGAATAATTTAAACGGTATCAATGCGCAAGCATCGTACGATGCCAAATGACAAACGAAGTAAGCACCGATATATCGATTGAGCCGCGCGACGGGAGAGGGAACGACTCGTGGAATCTCGCGTCATTCTCATTGTCTTCGTGGTTTACCATGCCGATCGTCCAAACCCGTAATTTTAGCATATGACTCGGCAAATTGCGAGTAATCGAATATCCCTCAACCATCGAAAAATAATAAGATCGTTAAATTATCGACATCAAACAATGGTGGGGGAGGGAAAAGTGTTACCGCGCACAGATATATATTATATATTCGCATTATATTATATTTCGCTTTTCGTCGCGATTGAAAATCAACTAGACGAAGTTCAATTTTCATGTAAATAAAGAATTAAAAATATATATAATAGTGTCTCTGCGAAACAACGCGAATAAGCGGCGTAGGAATGTAAAACTATAAAAAAATATAAAATTAATAACATAAGGATATATCGCGACGTTCTGTTAAAAAAGGAATAGGGACATAAAATTTCTTAAAAACTGACAAAATTGTGGAGCAACTATATCTCCTATGTCATCTTCTACATCATTTAACAAATGCTTATTTTCCGGACGAATTATTATTCCATCTTCGAATAAATTCTCCAATACAAGACAGAACGTGAGGGAAGAATATATAAATCCGGAATATGTGTCTTTCGTTCTCTCACTTAATTAGATTTATATATTTGAGATGTCGAATGGATTCGTCTTCCCTACGCTCGACTGGTTAGACGATAAATAAATAGATAAATAAATAGATAAGTAGACAGTAGATAGGTAACGAATGTTTTGGCCAATTATGGCAAATTATTGGTGCTCTTTAGATTATAATTGATCGAGTGTCTGCGCGATCCAGTAAACAAATAAAAATAAATACTAAGAAAAAAAAAACAAAAAAAATATAAAACCTGCATGAAAATTTATGCACTAGAAAAATATACCGCGACTTCTTCCGGATTTATTTGATTTCATAAAATCCTTGTACCGACATCTATCCACTTCCGGCCGATCTTTTAAAGATCTTTAACAGCAATCGAGTCATACGAGAAGCCCGAAATTTGAGACGGTAATAAAGTTTAGTGTCTAACGTTTAATGTGCTCGCCTCGCCGAGGGCGGCATCTCGGTGAGATGGTACGCAGGATGACCCTTGATAGGTCCTATCGAACGAAGGCGAGCATCGGGAATCGGCAGATCGAATCGGCGGGCTTCGAGAGAGAAGCAGTGCAAGTAGCAACGGCAACTACTCGCCACCCCATGGGACTCATACGTTAAGGGTGACTTAAGCATTGTTTCAACTTCGAATCTCCCGGCAGAGGCCCAGATTGATGTCGCGAACTTTTCCGTTGCCTTATTTGCGAGTCAGATAACGAGGCTGAGTTATGTCAAAAGTTCTCTCTCTTTCTCTCTCTCCGGCCCGGCCCATGCTGATCGTATCGGATCACGAAGAATACCCGTAGTCGGGAAGAATGTTTTATTTCTTCCCTTAGCTCTTCGGGGATTCATCGTCGATGCCAAAAGTACCTATGTCGAGCGATAATAGGCTAACAGCTGCTTCGGAAAACTGCCGATTCCTTCGGAGGTGCTACCTTCATGGTTTCTCCCCGGTCGCAATAACGAGGTAATGAGAAAAATCTTCTTACAATTAGCGAAGGGAGGCAATAATTAAATTGTTGATCATCCGTGGCAAAAGAGAGTTTAAGGAATAGATGTTAGAACCGTATTTCGCGAAACTAATTGAAATTGACTGTGAATCTATTGTTAATAAATTACGTTAATATTATATTAATAAATTACGTAAATATTTTCTTATACGCTTCTGTTATTATAATTTTATGCAAATTAAGTATGAATATATTAGCTCGCGTCAATGTTTCTTATACATGATACTTTCTTATACTTTCGTAATATTTTATTATACCAAATATATGCAGCATGTGTATGTATATAAATGATGATAGCAATTTTGAATTATATGGTAAATAACATCATATGCATAATTAATAACGAGTGCCAATTATTAGCGCACTTTTTTCTCGACTTTTCGCGAGTAAAAGCATCGTATAAGCATACAGTTCAATCTATCCAACCACATTGAATCATTTTGATTTGACTCGCAACTTGTATTTTCATACTAAAACATAACAGTAACCTTATTGTTGCATTCATCGAACGCATTAAAGTCGCCTAAGGAATGCGATTTCACTCAACATTAAAATATATTTCAACAATTGTAATGATTAATTCTCTCGCAAAATATATGATAATTCCAGCATAGTTCCTAAACGCGAAACTTCGTTTTCGACGAAACTACTGCGATCACCAAACAAATATTTATACCGTACTTATGCGACTATCAAATGAATGTTTAACAGGACACAGACAGTGCGAATAGTACCGAAAGTACATTTTTGTACATTGTATTCTACGGTATCGCTTTCTAAATCCCCGTATAAATCATGGGCAACATTATATATATATCTCTACTATTGATTATGTGCGCTTGGATCACGACGTACGAAAGAACCGAGATATTAATTAATTAAGAAAGTGTGTATGCGTTTACTAGTATAGATACGTTTTATATTATAATTCTATCATAGAAGTATTAATAAATTTGTTTCGATGTTATGCAACAGTGGTAATTGTGAATCGTATGTCGTTATTTCTCTTAAATTGAATCAGCGAAAATATCACTGATTAAAACAGTAATATAAAATTACAGCGAAAAGTATTCTTCATATACTTCACTGATTATGGCAATAAGATTTCGTTGAAAAATCAGCAATAATCGTATTTGCAAGCTGTAGTTTTAAAAGTTTTTACTATTTATCATAAATGAATATATTTTTGAAAAGCTTTCATCCACATATTTGAAATGAAATACATAACTAGTATTCAAATTCAAAATTATATCCATACAATATTACATTTTTTCACTTTTAAAATGTGATAAACTCATAAACGAGACTCGATCAAATTCATATTTCTTTAATAAAATATATCGCTATAAATTTATCTCATAATACATAATATATAAGACGCGTTTTTTATATAAAATATTCTCAGTAAAATATACTAATAATAACTACTATTATGAACTGATTTTTCAAATAAGGTTTTATTAGAAATTTGCTTATAATGAAAACAGTTAGTGATTATTTATTGCTTATCAGTGACAACATACATTGATTCCATTTAAGAGAACGAGAAAAAAAGAACCGTCATCATTCTGTTTGCTTTTTTCTTAAAGGTTTATGTTTATGCTTCTATCGAGCTCGCGATATTGATTCGCGACGTTGCGACGCGAAAATCAACACGCGGAATGATTTTCGCCGCCGACGTGATCTCCCTTTGCATCTTCCGTTCGTATTTCCCTTGAATTATTTAAGGGCGTTACGTGATTGGCCGACAAATCCGGTTCGCCTCAATAATTTACCAATCATACGCGGTCCTTTGTGTTTTATACGCCGCGTTTCGAATAAATCGCATTGTGTATTCAGGAGAGCGGCATCCAACTCTATTCTCTGGTGCGAACCCTCTCCGCGTATCCGGCGATGGAAAAAGGCGAGGTGAAGAAACGGAAGAGGAAACTCGCGAAAGGGGCGATCGCGCACGATTTGCACGAATTGACTCGAAATTCGGCTGAACATCGCGAATTTATGACGAGACTGCGAAGGAACGCAGTGTCTTTCCTCGTCCTCCGTAAACTTCCCGGAATCGCAAAGTATAATATATCGCAATATTCTTAACACGAATATTAAATCAATACTTAACGACTTAGCAATGTAATAATATTTCGTATGGGCACTCGATATTTATAAGTGTCATCAAAATATTTGAGAAAAAAGAACTTTTAAATACCTCTATAAGTTGAAGCGGCCTGGTGCTTTTTAAAAGACAGAGCAGTGTATTCTGAATGGATTCCACCTGAAGAGTGCACATTCCGAAGTCGCAACACGATAGTTGATAACAAGTAACTGATGTATACACTCGCACATCCACTGAATGTAATAATTTACACAGTTTTAAAATAGACACTATTAGACACATCGCGAAAAACATTCACTTTCTTTTACGCGCGATAATCGACTGATGATCGTCGTATCATTGACTCGCCGTACGCCGTGCGCCTGGAGGTGGGGGGAGGCCGTATTGTTTTGTTTATATTCGCGCCGCTTGCTCGCGCGTCATACCATTGGAATGTCTGCTACGTCACCTGCTACGTCACGATCGAGGTCAATCGCTTTCACTTTCACAACTCTTCGAAATTCTGTGACGTACGCATCGTACTACGAAGCGGTGTTACTTGAAAATTATATACGTATAATACGCTTGTGATATTTCTTGTGAAATCGACGTATCTCGATGGGGATTCGGCGAAACGACCGTCGCTGGATAAGGGAAGGTGATTTAACGTCGCAGGCGAAACTACTTATCTATAATCCAATGAGCGGGTAAGTAAATGAAGCGGGAAACGAGAGAGACGGTCGAGCATTCGATGCAAATTGGCAATTTTTTCTCGTACGGCTCGCGGTAATCATTGGCAATTAGAGCACTGAGGCCCCCGATAAATGTTATTTACGATCACGATTATCCGGGGCACGCCTAGCCGCCAGAAGGTTCGCCTAACTACTACTTCCCGACCGTCTAATTGACTGACGATTACTTCTGTTTGTACAAAATGCAGCACTTTAGCGCTAGCAAACGCGAGTCCCTTTCTGCTCGATTGCCATTTTCTCCTTGTCTCACCGAATACGTACATTGCTATAAATAGAATATAATTATCTATGATAATTATAGAAAGAATACTTAAGCTCACTTCAGATGATTTATAATTTTAGAATTCGGGACATTTAATTTATAATTTTATACATCATATAATAAATACTGAAAAAATTTTATACAAAATATATAATTATAAATATAAATATTCTGGTATATTTACACGAATATACATATACAGTACATATTAATTATAAGTAGAATTTTGTCACGAATTATCATCTAATAATTAAATTAATTATTCTTTCTATAATTGTGTATGTAATGTATTACGTTTTTGTAAATATATTATCAAGACTTAGGTCAAAAAATTAGTCAATCTAATTATACAGTATCAAAGTTTAGCTTCAATCAATATACAAAGACGTAATGACTTCGGGAATAAAACGGGCAATACCTTCATTTTTCTTATTTATAGCAAGATCAAATTTTAAATATGAAAAAAGCTTATATTTCTTAAAATAATTATTTTCATTACTTATATTTCTTTTACGTGATGTATAGTAAAATATTTAAACTAGTCTGTGCCAATTATCTTAAATATAATATTGATATAGTTTCGAAAAAAATTGCTCTGAAAGCAACCATGAATAGCAAATAACAAGTCCGAGATTTTAAAAAGCAGACAAATAGAGAATCGTGATTATATATATCGGTATCTATTTACTCGTCGAATCGTTCTCTTTTCTCGTTATTTGTTATTTCCGTTCAAACTATCTCCCATGTTTAATCGCCGGCAAATTACCCCCTCCTCGTCGGATCGCAAAACTCCCCCGCAGCTACGAGAAACTTGAGAGGCGAGTGTTATTATCTGCCAACAATTTATCCAGGCGCGCCCTTTCTTCGTCGCGAGAATAAGAGAAAAAAAAGGGACGCGGGTGTGTAACGTCGCGACGGGTTTGCGTAAATCACGCAAATCACGTATCGCACGGAGGAACCCGGGGAGGAGGAAGGGGGCGAGAGAATCGCGGCTCTTTTCCGCGGTCTCTGAAACAATATTATTACTAAAAGCCGCCGCTCGTCCTCGACTGCTTCGCGCGCGCGGCAGCGAGTACGCGCGAAGAGAAACGGCGGTCTGGAGGAGTGATTAATTAAAAGAGCAAAAACTGTTTTCATAAAATTCATTTGCGGAAATATGCGCCAACTGAAATAATATCCGGCTGCCGATGGGAACCGCGTGTCCCGTTCCGGCATCGTGTAGCCGCTACATTTCGTCTCGTCTCGTCTCGTCTCGCCGCGTCGCCGCGTCTCGTCGCGTTCGAGAATAAAAAAGTGAAGCGAATAAAAATGAAGGCTGGGCGCGCTATGCGAAAGTTTTCGCATTTTTTGTGCCCGCCATCGCCGAAGCATAACAGCCGTGTGTGTAAACGGGATTCGTGCGGCCGCTTGAGCTTCAAGTCGAGCGCGTTAATATTAAAGTCTGCTCCGAAATCGATTGCGTACTCCTGAGAATAAAGAATTGCCTCATTCACTTCATCAATTTTTCATTTATTTTACATTTCATTGGACAATTCCTAAAAGACATATCAAGACAAGAATGTTTTTTTTAAATAGCAAGATTAGATAAGATTAAGGGAGATTAAATTTTGTATTAATATTTTGCAGACAAGTGTCTCTATCAGATATATATCGATTAAGGGAGATTAAATTTTGTATTAATATTTTGCAGACAAGTGTCTCTAATCAGATATATAACTTTTCTATTAATATCCACAATTTTAATAACAATGACATAAAATTCGTAATGACATAAAAATCGTAACTTTTCTATTAATATCCACAATTTTAATAACAATGACATAAAATTTTTAAATTATATGATAACGTTTTAATATTACTTATAATATTATTTATCTATAATAATTATAGATATTATCTTTACTGTGTTGATTGATGCAGATTAAATAAAATGAAAAAAAATTATTAAAAAATAAATAGCAAAAAAATTTTTTAAAGTATGAACAAATTATAAATATTACTTAGTACATTAAAAAATAGATTAATTTTCATAGCATTAATATAAATGACAAGATCGTACATTGTGTGTGATGAAAAGAAATATTAACAAAATTTTCTCTCTTATACTACTTTACTCTCTACGTAACTCTCTTCCATAGATATTAGGTCATAGATATCTATTCGTAACCACACAGTATTGCACTTGTGATTTCGCATGTGATCTGTAACATGTATTGTTGGCTCCGTTCCCGCGTAACAAAGCACAGATACGCTTCAGCGCAAACTTCCGAACACGTGTATATTTTCGCAACACGGTCATTCATCTAACTCTAACTGAGTGAATGAAAAATGTATAGTTTGGAACGCACTGCGCGAGTCTATAGAAGCTGTGAATGAAAAGTCTACGCTTAAAGTGTCAATAACTGCAATCCTATGTGCCACATCCGTCTGCGTTAAAATAACCACCTATCCGTCGAGAGAACCTCGCAAAGTAAACCATTCCGATTCGCGAATAGAAACATTAAATATCTAAAAATATCGATACTCTAATAATACAAATACGCGGTAAAATAATTATACAAGTCAATTAAAATATAAATTTCGCATTCTTGTCCTTATTTTAAAAAAATGATATCTAATTTTTTTATTTTTTTCTTCATAAAGATACGGAAAAGATTAATTATTGTATCGAGATATAGTTTTGATATTCGATCGATAAATACTTGCTCGACTTGTCCGCGCTCACAACCGTTCCTCTCATCGCCATTCACTCGTAAAAATCTTTCCGCCTTTCTCAGAGAATCCTGGAATTCTTTCCTTTCTCGCTTTCCGTATCCCTCGCTCGCGCTCGCCTCTCGGCCCATCATTTCGCAACGGCACGTGATTTAAGCGGGCGTAAAAATGGCCGTTAAAAAACAAGAAAGCTCCTTAACTCTCACTTTGATTGGCCAACTCGGTTTATTAAAACGTTTCGCGCGCGACACGGCCGTTATTCCGTTTCTTTCCTTTTCTTTTTTTTTACTTTTTCATGTCCTCTCTCGTTCTTGCGACGTTAACCTCTCGAATGTCCGTCGAGACTGTATTTTTATATTTAGTTGCCCTCTTCTCCTCGCCCCGACATGCCCTTTTCTTTGTCGAGTTTTATTGCTTCTTCTGAATGTACTCGACCCAAGCGATATCACTAGGCACATTCGACCCTTTCGTTAATGACACTTCTCGAAACTACGAACGCGAATTTATCTTCGCGGCCTCGTTAACGGCTGTATTAAGCATCCGTCGCGAGTAACCGAGACAATGTGAAAATGCTTGGTGAAGTCTCGATTCAATCCTGAGTGTAAATGGTAAGATCTTATTTCACACAATATCAAATCGTAAAGAGATTATAAAATTGCGCAATAATAAAACAAAATAGTAAAAATATATTCAACAAATATATATATAATATAAAAGAAAATTTAGCTTTTAATTTTTATTATATATAACTACAATCTCAAAACAATTAAAATTATTTCATTTAGGTTTATCATTGCAGTTTCATAATTTTCTTAGCGCGTTTTTCAGATTTACATTCGAATTAACGTATCTCTATATTTTTCAACACGCGACATTACAGCTTATATATATATATTTAGTTACAATTAACATAGCATACGATTTAATCTCAACCCCCATTCTCTCGCGCAAAATTCTATGATTATTCATTGCATTTCACGATGCATATTCCACACAATTGTATTCTCTGTTACTTTAATAAATAATATTTATCTCAGCGGCTAAATCGTGTAAGCAAAAGTCACGTCTCATAGAAAATATCCTTATCTTTTTTCGCTCCTCGTCCCCTCGTGTTTATTTTCTTTCTTTCTCTTTCTCTCTCATATCTCTCTTCTGAAATATTAATTAATAAGGCAACTTCCGTTGGACGAGATACTTGCTGCTAATTAAGAAATACCTACCGCGCGCTCTTTTCCAGCGCCGGGGCGAGGAGGTGGAAAAATAAGAGGTAGAAATTCCACGCTGCTCTGGCACCCTTGAAACGAGGTAAACTTAATCCTCGGCCAAGTTAAACCAACTGCTAAGCTTTTCATTATGCCGAGAGCGAACGAAAAGGGAAGAGAAGAACGGAACCCGGTTGTGGGGCACCGCTTCTCGTTAATGCCGGAAATCTCGCACTGATATCGCATTTTTGGAAACGCAACTTTACTCTTCTTAAAAATATATGCATTTACAATCGAGATGTATTCATCGCAATAAAATTACAAATAATACTTCTAAAAAAAAATGATCACGATAATATCGATTAGATAATGTGCGACGCGGATGTGACAGATGACTATAAAATGCGTATAGAGTAATAAAATAATTAAACACGATAAAAAAATAAGAAATATCGATTAGA